GGTTAGATTTTTTTTCTTCTTGTAAAAGTTAGAATGTGTACATTAATGGTTAGATAATCCTGCACAAATATGCATTCAGGATTAAGCTATGCACCAAAAGGTCAAAACTTGCTTAAATAGTTATCATGGAGACATTTTTGGAAAAGAACAAACATTTTGCCATTTTTCCATTAATTTTCGAATCAGGGAAAGTGTATATTCTGCTATTGGTTGCTTTGCTTGAATATTTATATTTTTTAGTTACATAACTACAGAATATCTTAAGACTGAAATGGACGTCTATTTTCACAACCTGTTTCAAAAGGGAAATTGAGTATATCATTTGCTGTAAATTGTAAATTACTGATAAATTGGCAATAGTGTTTCAAATAGCTAGGAGGTCCCTTTAGCCATCTGATCTGCTCCTGACCTCCTCCTCTTCCTTCCCAATATGGAGAAGACATTTTATTTAACACGGGTCTCTGCTCACTTATTTATTGGTTAAGCATCTGACTTTATCTTAGGTTATGATCTTGTGGCTCATGAGTTCGAGCCCCGCGTCAGGCTTTGCGCTGACAGCTGGGAGCCTGGAGCCTGCTTGAGATTCTGTGTCTTCCTCTCTCTCTTCCCTTTCCGCACTCATACTCTGTCTGTCTCTCAAAAGTAAACATACAAAAATTGAAAAAAAAAAACATACTGTTATGCAAGTTAGAAAACTGAAACAGAGTGCAATAAAATTCCAGTTTCCAGGGAGAACTGTGGAGTGGTGTATCTCCTATTTATTTCCTGTTCAGGGACCATGCGTCTCATTGGCGAACAATATCACCCAGTAAATACGTGATAAATAATGTGTGATGATGACAATGTGACTATTTATGTTTTCTACAGTTCCATGCTCTAAGGTTCATTATCAGACCCTCCTGGTCTCATTTCCTTAAGCCTGTGACCTTGCTGTAGTGCTGAGTTACTGTGCTAACAGTAGCCTTCTCTCTCAACTAACAATTTGCTGTATTCCAGGGCTTCCTGGAGTCAAGGACAATTCTCCTGGGAGGACTTAAGGTACATAGGAAGTATTTTTGTGCCTCTCAAACTAAACCATGTAGATGATTATTTACCTTCCTAAAAAGTTAGCAGCTTCAACAAGTTGCTGTTTACTTTATTTCCTTTTAGAAGGACCATTTTAATGACTGCTTGCATGAACTATTGAAAGAGTTAATAATGAGGCAATGGCAGAGGAGAACCTGAGCTAAATGTGAGTGCTGGCTTTATATATTTTATTGCTAGGATGTCTCCATGCTACCAGCATTACACTGAAACTGTGTGGTAGCAAACCCTAGTTGCAAAATTTCAAGAAAACCCGGGGTGTCATGTTTCTGTTTGGTATTTTAAGGGTATAGAAGAGTAAAATCCCTTCTGCACCTAGGCCTATACGGTTAATAAGCCAGAATTTAAAAGATACATGTATGTAAGTTGATGCATAAAACAGCAAAGAAAAGCACAAAGTGAAAGCATAGATTCCTTAATATACAAATAATGTTTGTAATAAATTTTAAAAGGTGAACCAATTAATAGCAAAATAGCCAGCTGGCATGAACTGGCATTTCTCAGAGGAGGACCTACAAATGGTCAATATTATGGGCTGAATTGTGTTCTCCCAAATTCATATGTTGGAGTCCTCATTCCTAGTACCTCAGAATGTGACTATATTTAGTAAAAGGTGAAAGATTTATACGATCTTAAGAGAAACCAGAGTGAGTGACTATATTTGGAAATAGGGCTTTTAAGGTAAAATGATGCCATTCAGATGGACCCTAATTCATCATGACTGGTGTCCTCTCAAGAAGAGGTTAGGACATAGGTACACACAGAGGAAGACTGTATGAGGACAGAGAGAGAATAGCCATACAAACCAAAGAGGGAGGCTTCCAAATGAAGTCAACTCTGCTGACACCCTGATCTTGGACTTCTGGTTTCTAGAACGGTGAGGAAATAAATTTCTGTTGCTTGAGCCACCCAATGTATGGTACTTTGTTACAACAGCTCTAGCAAACTAACAGTGAGTAAACTTACAAAAGATGAAATAAGCTCAAATTACACAAAAATTTGATGATGGAAACAAGTACTACCATGTGCTTTTAGGTGGGAGTATAATCTGATACACTTTGAGGTGCAATAACTGCATTTATGTTTGATTTGACAAACAGTTCTCAGATCTGTAAGCTTGTGAGCTAGAAGAAAAGCTCCCTTCAAAGCAGATCTCAGTTTCGTATGAATCTCAGAGAATCAAATTAGTCCTTATCTAATCAAAGCTGTGTTCCCATGCCTTCCTCTGACTATTGTTCCTATTTATCTTGTTTACTTTGAAAACATCTTGCTTTATCCTATGCATCTCTTCCGTACTCAGTGGCTTATCTTTCAACTTGGTTGCTCAAACATATTAGATTTAGAACAATGCATAGGGGGAAGTCTAAAGCACCTTCTAGTACATGCAAGGGAAAGGACCTTCTAGTATGTGCAAGGGAAAGGAAGAATCATACAGGTCAATAGGTGCTATTGCCCAAAATATTTGGAAGGTCTTCATTTTCTTTTGCATGTAAAACACCCACCTAACACTCAAGCTAAGGGGGTTAATACTTTACATAGGCTCTTCATGTAGCAATAATACTCTTTTACTTTCTCATATTTTGAGACATTAGTATTTTACAAATGCTAATGAATCAATGCTGTATTGTCACCTGCTATAGCTAATATACTCAGTTATAGAGTCACAGTTCACAGCTCTTCTCTCTTTTAAGTATATATTGGACTCAGATTCATAGGGTCCTATTCTCCAAGGAAATTACCTACTATTTATAAAAGGGTGAGCATGCTTACTAAAACATGGACCTAAATAAATGCATAAACATTCTGGGGACAAATAGTAAGGATGGGGAAGAATGAGATAGTAGGCAGAGAGATCATTAAGATAAAGTTGAACTTGATAGAATGTAGTTGATGAATTTTAATGTTCGACTGTGTGGTAGTGGCTGGAGCAAATGGTCCGGAGATTTTAATCATTCATACAAATTGGAATGAAAAAACTTTCTAGACAGTGCTTTGGCCAGGTCTGCTGGGTGCTCTGAAGTAGAGGGTAAAATAAAAAGGGCCTTTGAACTTGCCTGAAGTATACCAATCTAGCATGCTGGCTCTATCTGTAGGCTGGGTTATAATGCTTTTTTTCATTTCCAAGTTTCCAACAGAACCTTGTGCATGCAGCCACTAGGACACTGTCACACTTTACAGTTTTGTGGGTTTTTTGTTTTTCTGCTTCCTTGTATGCCTACCCTATTAGATTTTGAGACCCTTGAGTACAAGGGAACTTAGCATTGTGCCTATTGTAAGCAACTAATAAATGTTTAATTTCATTTGATTGAACATCAAATACAGGTTTGTTTGAAAATTCGGTTTTCTTTTTCTTTTTCAAGTTTATTTATCTATTTTGAGAGAGTTTGAGAGCGAGGCAATCCCAAGCAGGCTCCACGCTGTCAGTGCAAAGCCCACGTGGGGCTTGATGAGATCACAACTGGAGTTGATACCGAGAGTTGGACATTTAACTGACGGAGCCACCCATGGACCCCCAAAGTTCCTCTTAATGATGTTGACTGGTCCCAGGTTGCTTGGCACAGCAGAGGCTGAGGCTGTTAAGGATGGACTGATTCCCTTCAAACATCCCCCCCCCCCCCGCCCCACAGTCTTCTCCTTTTGCCATCTGGGGTTTTCGACACTCACTGACCTGGACTCTCACAATCCTGGGAACTTTGCTCATAGCTAGAGGCACAGCTGCAGGGAGCCCTTTAGGGGCTGGAGGCTGCTGCACCTCTTGTGAAAGAGGCAGGGGATGGTAAAATTTCCTGCTGCAGACAGACCCAAGATGACTATTCAAATGATCTGTCCAAGAAACGAGGTACAGGGGGGACTATCTGCTTTACACAAAGATTTTTGACAAAATTCTTTCAAAAAGTGAGTCTGTATATTTGCCTTTTTATTTCCTGGAGAGAAACTAAGCATTTCTCAAAAGGATCTGGGACCCAAAATAGTATCACTGGTTTGAGTAAACAGAATTTGGCTTTCAAAATCAAACTTCTAATTTGATAAGTCTCTTTGTGGGAAGGCTGATGTCTGAGTCTCTTTGTGTTTAGCCCCATGTGGTACAATAGTACCCAGTGCACAACAATCAATAGGGGTTTGTTTGGGAAAAATACATTAATAGTATAGGCAAGGCTTACTTGAAAACCATCACTATCCAGGGATGACATCATTTAACATTGCTCCTGACCTTATACCCCATGGTATGCCCACATGTAGCAGTTATTGGAAAGAGTTTACCCCTTTCTGAAAGAGTAAGAACTTTCCATTTAATTTGTGAGAAATTTGAAATTTCTACACCCTTTTGCATGTTCAGCTTCTACCACTAAAAATTTTTATTTGTATGTTATATACATTTATAAATATTTCCCATTCAATTCTTAAATACTTCTGTGGGATACATAGGTCTTCTAGGGAATACGATGTCTGTAATAATAAACTGAGGCTTGGTTTCCCTCTGCTAGGAGGCTTGTTCTTTTCCTTAAATGAAAAAGAAGAGAGCAGAGGTCCTGTGAGATCCTACACAGATCCAAGTTTTAAACACAGTAAAAGAATCCAAGCAGGCCTGTAACAGCAGGGATCCGGAAAGATTTGAAACAGTAGGTGACTTTTCTAACAAAACTCACACAGTCTTGGTTAGGCTAACCTAGCCACAACAGAGCAGAAGGAAAAACAGTATTTTTTTTTTTTTTTAAAGCAGCAGCTTAGCTTGCTGGCTCAGCAAATGTTTTTCCCTATTATAGTTTGAAAAAGAACATGACTTGGAGGCCCTTTTACCCTTAGTCCTTCCTCCTGCCCCTGACTGTACCATTAAATCCTAGATACTGGGGTGACTAAAAAGGAAAGGGAATAAATCAGTAATTGCAAAAAAGTTTCCCCCAATTTTGTGCGTGACAGCATTTGCTGCTTTAAGTTGATTATAAAATCAGTTCAAGGGTTTGCTATGCCGGCAAGGTCACAGCCAGAGGGGGCAGTGAACTTTGGACTACAGCTGGATAGAGAGGTAAACAACAGGACTATAAATATCAAGGCTTTTGGCTGTGGAGCTGCGGAGCTGAGTAAAGAGAAAGGACACAGACTGATCCGAAGGGGTTCTGTAAGTAGGAACGTTGTGTTCTCCATTATTTCTTTTTGAGTGTGGTAAATAATTTGATTTTGAGTCTGATAAAATGTTTCTGTCTTTAGAATAAATTTTTAAAAAAAGAGAGATGGGTAAAGAAGATAAAACTAATACAAAAGAAAGAACGGAAGAGTCTGGACTGGAATGTGGTGGGTGAAGGTCTGTGGTGGGCACGTCTGTAGCCCTTTGCTGATTTCTGCCCTGTCTACTGCCTCCCCCCATCCTGTGGTTGGAGATGGGAGCAGAGGAGGCTGGAGAAATGGAACAGTTACTCTGCAAAGAGTTGTGATGTTATAGAGGCAATATAGCTTGTTTAAGCTCAGCTCCTGTTTGAAGAGCAGAGACTGAAATAGCCATTCTGTAGCTGTAGAAATGTCCAAGGATACTGTGAGCCTGTTTGTTTACTGTCAGGAAACAAACAAACAAATCCCTGGTGGTAGAGAGAGCAGGTTTGGTCCACTGGGCAGAAGTGACTGCCCTTAAGAGTTCAAACCCATGTCAAATCAGGTGGCCTGTGATTAAATGCAAAGTTTTGCGGTTTAGAAGGTGAGTGGGTACTTTTAGGTGAATGAGGAAGGACCCTCAAATGGCAGTTTGAAGTTCAGGGAAAAAGTTTCTGCATATTCTGCCTTTTAATGGGGAATTTTAAACAAATGTAAGTCTGTATGTGGCCAGAAATCTAGTTCTGTGATCGAAAATTGGTGAGATTAGTGAAATTTACAAACACTTTTAGCAGCTTCTAATAAATCCTATTTAGTTATCTATTTAGTTATAGATAGCTATAACTATAATCAAATGTTTATTATACAAAAAATGATCTTAAGAAGAAGACAAAGTTGAACAGCCTATTGATTATAACAGAAGAGGAAAATCTGTGAGTGTGAACTTTGTAATCCACTACCCTCTGCCAATGACTTTATGTCTTTTTTCATCAAAAAACTAAATAAAGGAAGGGAAAAAGCATTTTCATTTATATTCACTATTTAGCCACTAGAAAGGCTATGTTATATGGCAAAGTGAGGAAACCAAGTGCCGAATTTATGCTGAAGGTTCTATAGTTACTGAAATTCTATCTTAGAAAGTAGGGAAAATCTCTCCATTCTAGTAAAAAACAAAACAGCTTGAATTTTCTTGATGTTCTCCTTGCCATCCGAGGGCATAAACAAACAAAACCCTCGCTACTAGTTATTAAAGGTGATCTATCTAATAGCTAAGAGGTCATGTTTTGGATTTAGGAGAACTGGTTTGAATCTAGTTTCTTTTGTGATTTACTATCTGTGTGGACTTGGGCAAGATGCCTAAACTCTCCTGGCCATGTTTCCTCAGCTGCAAAAGGCGGATAATGGTCACGTAACTGCAAGGATTAACTGATATGATAAAAATAACTGCTTAGCACCACCTGCATAGAGTTCTGTAAATGCTCATTAATTGGTAGTCATAATAAGGATAATTGTGCCGCCAATATAAATACTATCCTAAAGAAATTCCCAAGATTTAGTCCAGATATATCCTCTCTTTTTTAAATATTAGAATTTTTAAAAATATTAGAATGGTTGGAACGGCCTTAATCATTTGATTTATCTGTCTCTCTTGGATTTTGTGGTGTTAAACAATATGAAAGATAATCAGGTTTTTAAAAATTCTATCTGTATTTATCATACACCAGAGCCCAAATCACTCTGATTCTAACCTTTCTACTCCCGTCTTAATTCTGGGCTCACTCTAACCTATCATTAGCCTCCTACCTTCTCTCCCCAAAAGTATTTTACTTTCTTATCCCAGATTAGTGCCTGAAAATGTGCAACTTCCTACTTCTGGAATGTTGCCCTGTTCTCTCTCCACAGATTTTTTTTTTTTTTTACATTACAGAATGAGCCTGTTCCTGGATTTTTATTTTTCTGCTCATCTCTGCTGAATGTGTTCCTTATTTTCACTACCTGTTTACAGTTCACCTGTTTTATGTGTACCTCTGTGCTAAGAGTTAGCCATAGTTGGGGAATATTTCTAGTCAGATATTTACCTTTTCTACTCAGGGGGACATCTTTTTACCCAAGAACGTGCCATCTAGTCACAGAAACTTCTTGAAAATAATGGTAGCCAATGAATAGACTCAGTGTAAATTGCAGTGGGTCTTAAATGGTTGAGGGGGCAGTGATTTGTGACATTTCTTCTGGGTCAGGTTTTTCCTTTTGGTTCATATTTATCTTGGATGTGGTAGTAACACTTTGGCAGGCAGTTTTATACCTGAAAAGATTCAAATCCTTTAATATTCACGTATAGCTAGACTTTAAAGAATAAGAGGAACAATAGGGAGCCAGACCCAAGAGACTTCTAAATACAGAAGGCTTGAACATGAAGAGCTGAAGGCCCCATATGGACCACCTTCATGTTGGTAAACTGTTCTTACAGCCTCCTGTTTCTTCCTGGGTTCTCTTTTCATGGTCTTTTCATTTCTGTGCAGAATCCTCTACTTACCCTTTTCTTTCTTACATTGGTGGAGGATGGAAAACAGCAGTCAGAATTTGGTGCATCTTAAATAAAAACAAAATCACATTTGCAGAATATTATTGGGTTATAGAGGACACAGTCTCAAAAATTTTCTAAATGTACCGTCTCCTAGAAAAATACTGGGCAAATTTCCATAGCATGCTTACCAAAGTATCTTGTCAGATCAGATAGTTAAGAGGTGCTTTGACAACTCCTTTGCCTCTGGCTGATTTTTTACTCCTGCTGGGATGATGTGGTGTAGGAAGGCCCAACATAATGAGCCCAGCAACATTGGGGTAGAATCCATGGGCTAGAAGGGGCACCTGGGTGGCTCAGTTGATTAAGCGTCCAACTTTGACTCAGGTCATGATCTCACGGTTCATGGGTTCAAGCCCCACATCAGGCTCTGTGCTGACAGTTCAGAGCCTGGAGCCTGTTTCAGATTCTGTGTCTTCCTCTCTCTCTACCTCTTCTCTGCTCATGCTCTCTCTCTCTGTCTCAAAAATAAATAAACATTAAAAAATAAGAAAAAAAGAATCTTTGGGCAAGATATTGATAGGAAGGGGGATTGTACTGACTGTATTTATAGAAATTCCTGGTTATGACTGTGAAGTTACCTGTGAAGATGACAGCAAGGCTTCCTCTTTTACAGGACAACCCCAGCAATGTGGAAAAGCCTGGGGCTTGCCCTGGCTCTCTGTCTTCTCCCTTGGGGAAGAACAGAGAGCCAGGGACAAAGCTCCTTTTGTAAGCAGCCTCCAGCCTGGAGCATAAGGGATCAAAATCCCATGCTAAACTCAAATGGTTCAGTGACCGTGGTTGCTCTTCTTCAAGCCAGCTGATACCTGTGCATCCTGCAGGCATCCAGGTGAGCTGGTCTTTTGGTGGTCTTGGATTTCTCAAGGGGAAAGCTATTAAATACATACATAAAATAGAAATGGAAAAGATGTATTTATTTAATCATATTTTTAGAAAAACTATACATGTTTGCATAAAACATGTTAAAATATGCTAGGTGGATATACACCAAAATATTTATAGTGGTTTTCTTGGGATTATAGACAAATTTTCTTCATTTTGTGGACCTGTATTTTAAAATGTCCTACTAAATATGTATTGTGTAATGAAAATGTTCTAAAAAGTAATCCTGCAAATAGTTTAGTTATTTCGATATAGGAAGCAAATACGAATGCTTTGCCAGAATAGGATGACCACTAGACTTCTCATCAAATGTCTTGGGTCATTTAACAAATATGTATGTATATGTATCTAAAAATTATTTGTATAACATACATATATTGGCTGGGTTATTTGATAAGTATTTATTGGGTAGAATTCTCTAACTGTAAAATGGATTAAAAAATACACACTTTTTAGGGTTAATTTGAGGACCAAATGAACTATCATTTGTGTAAACATTTAGCATAAGATTTTAACTGAGCACAAGTGCTCAATAAATAATTGAAAAAATGTGTTTTAGTTTTTACAATATAAAGAAGAGATTTGAGTAAGTAAAAAATAGTAAGAGAGTTTCATGTAAAAAAAATTGAGAGAGAAGTCACAAAGAAATCTAATGAGATTTTTCCTTTTTTTTTTTTTGTATTTTTCCCAAATATTTTAGATTGGAAGACCTGCGAGTAAAACTGGAGCAACAAGGATATTTGAACATCTCTTATGTTGTTGTTAATCATCAAGGACTCCCTTCTCAATTAAAATATATGCATCTTAAAAATAAAGTTTCAGAACATATTCCTGTTTATCAACAAGAAGAAAACCAAACAGATGTCTGGACTCTCTTAAATGGGAACAAAGATGACTTTTTCATATATGACAGGTGTGTATACACACACACATACACACACACACCCCTAATTAAAAGGTGCCTGCTTTGCATTTAACAGTTATTTAAAATAAGACATCTTCTTTTGTTTTATTACATATTACTCAAAGTGAGCTATTAAAATGTTTGGTTTTAATATTTTATTTAAAAAACTGACTTTTGTGCAAAAGAATTCACCATTCTAGTAGAGAAATACAGAAAATTGACTATACTCCCCCCACCCCCATAAATTAGCATTCTGACTCAGTAAAAGGATCAATTTGTGTATCAAGTACAATTCTAACCTGAGAATTCTGCAGATGAATAACTACACTTTGCAGACCGCTTGCTTGTCTCTAATCTGATTAATAATTTAGAGGTTACACACCTCAATTTCTGAACTATAGAGTGTTAATCATTTAGGTTTAATCGTCTTGAATCTGCTTTTGATTCCATGAATGAATAAAACATTTGTATTTTAAGGGAACCTCCATGCTCACATTATTTGATATTATCAACATTCTTAGTTGGTGTTGTTTTCTTTTGACTCTTCAGAAGTGATGAGGCATACTCTGGTTAGACTTGAGCCCTACTTCACCCCACTCTAAATATTTTTAATATTACATATTCTTTTAGGACTGCAAACTTTTAATTTGTACAGGTGCAAAGTGTAGCTCTTTGATAGAACATTATATTATGTATCCTGGGTAAAATGTGGATAAGAAGGACATTTCAACTCCACCATTTCTGAGAATGCTGAGTATTATAATTCCATTTCTTTCATTATGCTGAAATTTTTGCTGTATCAAATATATTTTTACACAAATGGGCTATTGGCCAAGACTTGAGGATCTTTCTCGTTATGCTGTACTTTTTTGTTGAATGGAATTTGTGCTGCTATAGCAGTTATGAAAACCTCATGTTACTTGCAGAGCCTAATTTATGGTAAGGTAGTGATTTGTGCATTCATAGAATTTATGTCTATTACCAACTGTATTTGACCAAGTCACAATGACTCGACTATGTAGTTCTGATATTATTTATAGCGGCATATCTACAAGATTTCAAAATGCTGGTGTGAGTCTCACTGTAGTCTGGCTGTGACCTAACCTGGTATGCAGTGCCAGGGAGCTCACTTGAGACCCCATTCAAGGAAGTTTATTGGGAGGTGTGAATGGGTCTTAGTTATAAGACTATTAAACCAATAGCACCTATCCCAAACTGCTTGAATATGATCATGATACAGAAAATATTGTAATGATATTGTGTTTGCCTTTTTTTTTTTTTTTTTTAGATGTGGCCGTCTCGTATACCATCTTGGTTTGCCTTACTCCTTCCTAACTTTCCCATATGTAGAAGAAGCCATTAAGATTGCTTACTGTGAAAAGAAATGTGGAAACTGCTCTCTCATGGTACTTTATTTTTTTCAATTATTTCCACTGGGAGAAAAAAGAAAGTCTCTTAAGAGCTATTTAAATAAGTTAGTATTTTATGACCAATTAGCTAAGTAATGTTTCTGTTGGTATACTAAAAATAAACAACAGCAATTTTTATAATTACTTCCTATTTATGTAACATATACTGTAAGATACTTTTTCAAGATCTATATTGCTGCTTTTATCTAGAAGGAGTTTAGAAAACAAAAACCAACAGAAATGGCATATATCATCAAATGCCACCAAATGATGTTGCGTGTGCTCAAAGTGTCCAAAGAATTCAGCCAACATAAAATATTGTAGTACCCTGAATGTGTTCACCAAGACCCTAGTGACAGACAGCAAAGCTTATTCATGGCATTATCTGAAATGGAATTGAGGTCCAGATAGTTACTTACTTTATCAAAGATGTAAGACTGTCAGCTTTTCTAAGATTGTCAGCTTTTCCCTGAAGCCCTTAACACTGTCTGCCCATTCTGCAGTCAGAATTACTGCATTTATTTCACAGTGGAGTAAGTTTTCTAGACATTACTCATATTTTTCTCCTAAGAACCATGAGAATATTTATTCCTATTTATAAGAAGCTTTACATTTAAATACTATTTATAAAAAGATACTCAAGGAATTGATTTTAATTTATATTAACTAGACTCTCCCCTCCCCATATTGAAAAGGAAAATAATCCCAAACAATGTTTCCTTAATGGGGAAAATTGGCAAAATTTGACCTCAGGTTTAAAAATAGTTCTGAATTTTATTTGAGAGCTATAAATCCATCAGATTTCTCCTGTTGTAAAGAAACCATTTCAATTTTTAATGAATTATTTAATTAATTAATTTAGTTGTTATGGACCACAATAGGTTAATTACTCCAGTTATATAAGTTTTCACATTTTAATCTTCATTATAATCCTATGAAGCTTAGTCTACTGCTTCTAAAGATGGGGAGACTGAAGTAATATAAATAAAGTATTAATTCAATGTCTGACTTCTACTAAGTGCATAATAAATGCTAGCTATATTGATTCCTCATATTCTGGGATTGTTTTGCATTTTTACAAGTGCCTAATAGTTATAAATATACCCAGTTATATCAAAACAAAGGCACAGTCCCATAACAAGCTTAAAATTTTTGAACCACCTATAAATAAAATACACCCTATATATGATATGCCAGATCAAATTGGAGTTTTCTTTTTTTCATTGTATCCTAGATGCCATCAATTATAAGATACATTCTTTTATGTACTATTTTAAAAATGCTGTCAGTTAAGGTAGGACACTGTTACAATGCCATCAATAATAGGACACATTCTGATTTTAAAGACATTAAAGTGTGAAAAAAATACCTTGTGAGATCAATAAAATACAGTAATCAGTTTTGGAAACTAATTAGACTACTACCATTGACTTCTGAACATTTAGAACATTACATAGTATATTTTAAACATTTATCAAAAATGTTTATAAGCTTTTAATCAAGTAACATTAAATACTCTAAAGAAAACGAAACAAGTCACAAAACTAAAAGGCATCCTGTGGAATGGGAGAAGATAGTTGCAAATGACATATAAATAAAGGATTAGTATTCAAAATATATAAAGAATGTATAAAACTCAACACCAAAAAAATTCAATTAAAAAACTGGCAAAAGACATGAATAGACATTTTTCTAAAGAAGACATACAGATAGTCAACAGACACATGAAAAAGATGCTTAACATCACTCATCATCAGGGACAAACAAAAACTACAGTGAGATATCACCACACAGCTATCAGAAAGGCTAAAATCAACAACACAAGAAACAGCAGGTATTGGTGGGGATGTGAAGCAAGGGGAATTGTCTTATACTGTTGGTGGGAAGGTAAACTGGTGCAGCCACTCTGGAAAACACTCTCAAAAAGCTAAAAATAGAACTATCCCATGATCCAGCAATTGTACTACTAGGTAGTACTAATATTAGTAGTACCAATTCAAGAGGATACATGCACCCTGATGTTTATAGCAGCATTGTCTACAATAGCCAAATTATGGAAACAGCCCAAGTGTCCACTGATTGGTGAATGGATAAAGATGTGGTATATGTACAATGGAATATTACGCAGCCATAAAAAAAGAATGAAATCTTGCCATTTGCCAACAATGTGGATAGAGGTAGAGAGTATTATGCTAAGTGAAATAAGTCAGAGAAAGACAAATACCATATGATTTCATGCATATGTGAAATTTAAGAAAAAACAAATGAACTCAAAGAGAGGCAAACCAAAAAACAAATTAACTATAGACAACAAACTGAGGGTTGTGAGAGGGGAGGCGGGCAGGGGGAATAGGCTAAATAGGTGATGTGGATTAAGGAGGGCACTTGTGATGAGCACCAGGTGATGTGCGTGTTGAATAACTATATTGTACACCTGAAACTAATATTACACTGTATGTTAACTAATGGGAGTTTGAATAAAAGCTTAAAAAATAGCATGAAATTCTCAAAAGTAATTCAGTAATAACCAAAAAATGTACCACTTAATAGTCGTATGCAAAAATCCAGTGGAATTTTTAACCTTTCGAGACACGGAACCACTTAGAAAATCAATTTGAGAGACCACAAAGAGTCACGAAGTTTATTTATAAATCACTTTAGGTAAAAGTTTCATATGATGCTGCTATATCTATAAGCTTTGAGCCTATATTTGTAGGCACACAAAACAATAAAGACTGGCAGCGAGTTAACTAGATTGATGTAGATGGGAGCATATGCCCAGCAGAAGATGGGCAATAATTTGCTACTTGCAGCTGTCAGTTCAACAGCAGGGACATAGTAACAAGACTGCTCAAGTTCAGAACATTTCCTGGCATAAGTGGTGGCATGAAAAACTACTGGTTTTCAGCAGAGTTTACTGGCATTTTTGAATTAACAGAAATTAGTTTGCCTCAGACTAGAATATTAAATATGAATATAGTATTTGACACAGGTGTGAAAGTTTCCTTGTAGTTCATCTGCTTTTAGGATTTGATATTTGTTTGACTTTACTGCAGTGGATGTAAGTTCTTTTAACCAGTTTATTTAGTTTTGATTCTGCAGATGGAAATATAGTGGTTTGGCTTTCTTTTTAAGCCTTACATACCTTTTAAATACTTCTTCAGGGTTCTTAAAAATTTAGGAAATACTCTTTATAAAAAAAGGAAAATTTGAATTCTGCTATTGATTTAACCAGTATAGAAGCTTAAGTGAACTGCAAAATTTTAATTTTGTTATGCTCTGTTTTATCTATTTGCAAAACATTAATGTTAATTCCTTTGGAAGATGCTTGAGGATTCTTCGATTAAATACAAACTTTGCATGAGAAGAACTTTAAAATTAGGTATGATTGGAACCAAATTGTAATAACAAGTCTGGGTGTTGAAACTGACATCAAATTTTTACTGCATTAACATGACACTAGAAAAACAAAGCCAGTTCAAACCTAAATTGACTACTTTGAATTTTATATATGTTAGCTCTACAAATCATTTTTTGTGCACAGCTTTTAAATCTATAATTTTGCTGAAAAATGATTTATAAATTTGTTCTAGACACCGGAAGATGAAGACTTCTGTAAAATTGTATCTTCAGCTACCATGGGAAATACAACTGAGGCTCCACGGCCACATCACCACCACCGCCATCCCCACCCCCACCCCCACCCCCACCACCATCACCATCATAATCATGAGCATGGGCATCAGCGTCATGGGAATGGTGAGCTTTCAGAGAACCAGAAACCAGAAGCACCAGCTGCTACTGAGCAACTCCCTTCTCAAGTCCCTCATCACCACGACAAGCACATTGACCACCAAAGAGAGGGCCATTCAGAGGACTGAGACATGCCAGCAGGAGGTGAAAGTTTGCAACTTTCTGTCCTACAACAGAAGCTCTGACGAAAGGGATGTATAAATCAGTTACACTGCAAATTGCCCAAAGATTCAGAGTTAGCTCCTAGCAGCTGATGCTGACACTGACGGCATCTGATATTTGAAAAAACAGAGTCTGCAATCACCTGACAATGTAAAGAAAACCTTCCCTCTTTATGTAGTTGACAGGGACTCTGGGCAGAGGAGAACGTCATTGAATCTTGACAGTGACGTTTGCCTCCAGCTGCCTGACATGCAAGTCAGCAGCTCAAGCCCACAGAGGTCAGCACCAGTTGAAGCTGAAAATATAAGTCCCAAATATGAAAATGACCTTCATACTAAATATTTTAAACAGGATTATACTCCCCAAGTCAGTCTAGACAATTTCATTTCCAGTACTTTTATATGCTACCTAATTATCAGTGATCTAAAAATAAGAATTGGATTTATACAAAACATGCAGAAATCTATTATATTGGCTTCCTAATTTTAAAATTTAAGTCAAAGAAATTTTGACCCAAACCAAATTCTTATTATTTTATTATAAAGGTGATTGCAGCACTTGGTTAATATGTTTTTCTTTTTCTTTTTCCAGCATTCTACTTGCATTAATGAGAACAGAGGCATAAACTATGACCTAGGGGTTTCTGTTGGATAGTTAGCAATTTAGAATGGAGAAAGAACAACAAAGACATATTTTCCATTTTTTTCTTTACTTATTTCTCAAAAAAACCCTTTATTTTTCTTTTTAATCTTACATTTTTAACTGATTAAATTTTATAAAGAACAGTGAATTCTATCTTTTTAGGTTCCAGAAGTACTAACACATGAATATTTCGTTATGACTACATTTTAAATATGCATTTATACTTTGTATGTCTAAGGGTCATATCTTGATTTTTACTATCACATATGTATGAAACCCTTATGTCTTATTTTCTTTATCTAGCATTATTACATCACACCTTTAAAATTTGAGATAGTCTCTCTTGAAAGATGTAATGGAGAAGGTAAAAGAATGTTGTCTGGCTCTTGATTGCTTAGAAAGTATTTCCATAGTCAATGATGGTTCAGTAGGTAAACTAAGTCCTATAAACCTGAACTCCTCTATGGTTCATACTATTGAGCAAGAATGTAGTACACAGTGGGCCAAATGTGGATTTGTTTAAATAAACTCAATTTAAAATATTTAAAGTGATCTTGTTTTCATTGTTGCTATTTAGGTAGTATGTTACATTAATGATGGAAGTGGTGTTTTCAACTGTTTTTATTTTATTAAAAAATTTTTTTTAATGTCTTATTTATTTCTGAGAGAGAGAGACAGCATGAGCAGGGAGGGTCTGAGAGAGAGAGAGGGAGATACAGAATCTGAAGCAGGCTCCAGGCTCTGAGCTAGCTGTCAGCACAGAGCCCCAATGCGGGGCTTGAACCCACGAACTGTGAGATCATTACGTGAGCAGCAGTCGGATGCTTAACCGACTGAGCCACCCAGGCGCCCCTTCAACTGATTTTAAAGAGATTAAGTAGCAACTAATGAATTTACTGTCATACTCAAAACCGTCTACGCTTAGGGCAAGAACCTTTGTCAAAAGGTTTAAGTTGAGAATCTTGGCCAACAGAGAGACGTTGCTCTAAATCGTGAATGGTATTACGAAGAACTGCAATCTCCTTGTTTTTTTCTTCTTGAAGGTGTTGAAGCTTCTAAATAAAGCAGCAAAAAATTTGTTACTGCAATTCAGAAATAGTAAGATTAAATACAAGAAACAATAAAATAACAAAAATTACATTTCTGGTTTAAGTAGGTTAAAAAAGACAGCTTGTTTTGAAAGGTTTATAGTTTTATTTTTATGAGGCTTATGGGGTACAACTGGAATAAGGATATTAAAAACGTATTAGCGCCAGTTGTTTTAGTTTATTCCCTTTTCCCTATATAGCTTGAAGTTACAAACCATAAAGTAAGAGTGGAACAAAAAGAAATCTATTACCTAAGTGCCTAAATAATAGTAGGTCAGCCTTGGTTCAGAATAGATTATGGAACTCCTTAGATGACCAAAGACTCAGAGGACTTCTCTAATGTTTTAATTTACTGCTAAGCTTTACTAGTTTTAATTTTTAAAAAATGTTTTATTTATTTGAGAGAGAGAGAGAGAGAGAGAGAGAGAGAATGAGTGGGGGAGGGGCATAGAGAGAGAGAGAGAGAGAGAGGGAGACACAGAATTTGAAGCAGCTCAGGCTCTGAGCTGTCAGCACAAAGCCCTACGCAGGGCTTGAATTCATGAACCATAAGATCATGACCTGAGTTGAAGTTGGACACTTAACTGACTGAGCCACCCAGGTGCCTCTAAGATTTACTATTTTAAATTGAAAGTGACTTTTAAATATTATTTGAAAACTAATATATTTCTGACTGTGTGATATATTTTAAGAAAAACTATTAAGTATATTGTTAGTAAATACTAGATAGCTTTTATAGAAACACACTAAGAACATTTATTTTCTTACACAATGGCTATAGAATAAAATCTCACATACCCTTCTGTAGATACTCTGTGGCAAAGCAGTAGAATCTGGATAGGATTTTGATTTAGTTTGAACTCTTGCTAGTTTGGCATCAAACTGAATCAAGTTTAAAAAGAAAGTTATTGAGAAGATTCTAGTTAAACAACTAGAAACAACTGCTTCTATAAATATAAGTATAATCCATTATATCTTTTAACATATAATCTCTAATTTAACTATATTCTCTGTACAACACAAGATAGAGAAGTCTTTCTTTAAGAAACAGTTTTTAAGAAAGAGCAAAGAACACCCGAACAAGATAAACCTTGCTGCATGTTAAAATTTCCTGGAAAGCTTTTTAAAAGTACCAAATACCTGGGCACTACCTTAGAGATTCTGGGATGGAGTCAGCATTACCTTTTTAAGACATTAGATGATTCTATCATGCAAGGCAAAGAATCTAGATAACTAAGGTTGAGAATCTAGTTAAAGACTGATAAAAATATTTTCGTGTTACTGTGAGTGTCCTTTCATAAAGAAAATATAGTATAGTCAATAGTCATGGGATATCTCATATACCCTTCTGTAAAAACTTTGAGACTGAGTAGTAGAATTTGGATATAATTTTGTTGATTCAGTTTGAACTCTTACTATTTTGACATTAAACTGAATCAGGCTTAAAAAATTCTCATAAGTCATTCTTACAGGTCATATATATATATATGTTTTCCCCAAATCGTCCATTATAATTCTTCCATTCAGGTTGAGTTCAGTGTAGCCTCTCTCTGATCTAAAAACAAAATTCTCACAAATTCTCTGTGAGATTGTCTTCTGGTTTGAGGAGGGAAATGGATAGCTACAATGAAGATGAAGAACAAAAAGAGCTGTGTCTATCAGTGTAAGCCACAGATTTGGGCTCAACCAAATCTGTGACAGAGCACAGATAGGAAACAAAATGCATATTTTAAATCAGTGGATTAGCAGTTGATGGTAGAGCCTGAAACACAACTTAGTGTATCTCAGTTGGCTATCTAGCCCTCTCTGTGGGTTGTGGGCACACTTGACCAGAGATAGTAGCAGCAAGCAGCAAAATGCCTCTCAAGTCAACATCAGTCCCCTTTTGCTCAAAGATTATACAGATTTCAACATCGAACCTCACCAAACACCCCAGAGAGACCAAACTTTCATGAATGTGAATAGTAAGTTATCTTTAACCAAACTGGTGAATTCTGACAACATAAGGTAAGGTGGGAGTCAGGCTGGGGAAAAGCAGTGGCAGAATGATGGAAACGGAGATGGCTAGAATCTAGAAAAAATTTTTTAAAGAACAAATATATTGTCAAAACATCAATGTCCCTGAGATTCTGACATCTGGTTAAACAACCTACTGAAAAGGCTTTAGAGCCTAAAACTAGAACCGCAGCCTTTGAGATGCTCTATGTAAAGTCCCTTTAACAACTTTTTAAACATCTGCTTTGTCTTCCCTTCTGATATGTATTTTCCACACATTTATTAGGAAGCAACCTGTCTCTTTTTAATAAAAGCTGAAGGAATTTCTAGATGGTTTACCAGGGTTCCACAATTTCTGCTGAGGAGAGAAAAATGTTAATGATTAGATACACTCTCCCCGCTGCTGGAATGGTAGTCCTATGAAGCTTGCATAGACTCAGCTACAAAGTGTGCGTGACCCTTGAATTACAGCTCTCCAGTCTCAGAGGAAACAATACACTCTGTGGAAACCAGGACCTTTTGAACCACTGAAGAATCCCAGCTTCCCACCAAATGCTGCAAGGCAGTGTAGCTAGCTAGCATGGTCTGGTGTACAAGAATCAACATGTGATGGAGAATGAGTATGTCAGGGTTGTTTCTAATCCTGAAGTTTATCTCACTGTGATGAAAAATAACCAAAATTCAATCTAGACTAAGGGATGCATTTTCAAATTTAGCAGACCCTTAAACACTTACCTCTAGGTGTAACTTGATTATTTCACTTTGTTTTTCCTTTTCTTGAATTCTTAACTTTGCATTTAACTCTGAAATTTCCACCTCTTTTTTCTCTATCAGTTCTTTATGCTTTTCTTCATTTGACTCAACTGAAGAAAATAATAAATAAATAATCAATTCATCTTAACATTTCAAAAATTTTATAAGCTTGTATTTCATTAACATTTTAAACAATCCATAAGAAAGTACATTTTATTAATAAGTACATATATTTTAGAAACTGTTTACATGCAGGGTAGCTTTTCTATATTTTGGAATAAGCTCCTACAAAATGCTTGAGACCAAAGATCACCCATCAACTGTTTTTGAACAAATAAACTGATTTATACTATTAAACATGAATTATATATTTTATGAGAGAGAATAAATAGGAGACTTAGTGGTTAAACAGGGACACAAAGCCTGGGTTCCTAGGCACAGGGGGCTCCAAATTACTGGATGATTCTAGAGCTACATCAAGTCCCTACTATACTCTATTCCACACGATTGGGCTTCTGTCATGTTTACACCACATCTCTATGCTTCCTCTGCTCTCATATTTCCTCTGCTCTCATATTTCCTATTCCTACTAATGACACCATGTTATCTAGTACGGGAGTCTCAAAGACATTTCTGACTTTAGGGAGAAAAGAGAGTCAATTCATCCACAACCCCACAAATAAGGGGTCTCCATCCATGAATAATTCACTACTTACTTAGTTTCAAGCCTCATTTTTTCCTCAATTGAACTCTATGTTCAGGTTCTCAATCACTGGTCTCTACACACTATACACTGTTGCCTGGTTAGTCTTCCTACAGCTTCCTACAGGATGTTCAACTGACTGAGCCACCCAGGCACCTCTATAGTTTCTTCTAGCAGTTTTGTAGATGTAGGTTTATATTCTGACATTTATTTCCAGCAAATTTTTACATATATTGTGTATAAGTATGGGTTCATTAAGAAAACTTTTTTTTTAAGAAAACTTTTTATTATTTTTATGAAACCATATAATTCTCAACATCTTTAGTAAAGGAAGAAGTTTCATTGCTGAAATTATAGTCTATATGTCAACTATATAAATATTAAAGTTATTATACATTTCACATTAAATTTATAATGACCTTAACTGCTTCATATTAAGTAATATTAAGTACAAAAACCTTAAATCCAGCTTAGAAATGTTGTAATTTATATCACATAAATATATAGAAAGGTACAAAACCTAAATTAAAATGCATCAAGGCAATATTCATTCAAGAATATTGGCAATTACTGAAAAAAGTTTATATGTGCATTTAAACTATTTTATGATGTCTCAGAATTCAGTAAGTTAGAAATAAAAAACTTACTTTTTTCCTGCATATCTTGATAAAGTTTCCTTATTTCTATTTTATGTTCCTCCTCTTTGATTTTCATTTCACTCATAAGTTTGGCAATGTTATTCTGATATTCCTAAAGATTAAAATATATATTCATTCCTCAATTTAAATATATATACACAATGTTCCATTAATTAGAAAGGTGAAATTCTCATGCTTTAGATTAATTGTTAATATGTAATCATATCTAGAGGGGATAGATATTGTTCCTTGCTTGAATAATCAGCTTTGAAAAGGATCAATTTCTGGTCCAAGTAAATTGAGCTCATCTAAAGACAATATCTTTTTATCTTTGCTTCCTGAATACTCACCACCAGTATTTAACATATCATAGATGCTCAAAGTGTGCATGATACTTTGCATGATAACATTAAAATATGTCCATTAAAGCCAAAGCTATACTTTAGAGCCAATAGTATGTTCTGTTCGATAGTTGGTAACCTTAACCTAATGTAGGATGCATTCTTTGAATGTAGCCTAAAGTTCTGTTTCTGAAAATTATATAAACATCCCAAATTCCCAGAAGGAAGTTAAGTACTACTCATGGCAAAGGTTAGTTTTATGAGGAGGAGGCTAGAGAAGGATGAATTTGGGAGTTGAGAAGTGCTCGACAGGTGCCTGAGATTAGTTTCTTAGGTTGCTGCAGGACAGAAATGATTATTGTCCTAATGTGGACAGGGGCATTCAGAGAGGTGTTGGAGGAGAAAGCTCCCAAAGATAAAATTTACAATTTTCTAGAGGGATGTTCCTACATAAACCACTTATTGACCTTAAAATGTAGGTAGGAGAAAAGGTAAGCAGCTAGAATAAAAGTAAAATAGGATACTAAGAAAGGTACATTAATGAAGGCAGGGGGTTTGTTTTTGCTCACTATCATGTCCCCAATCCCTATAGTATCTTAGGCTAAGCAATATTCAATGGCTTGACATTTTAGAAGAGAAAGAAGGTAAAAATTTCTCCCTCTGCCCCAATTATATCCTAACTGTACCATCTTTGTTGAGCTTTACAGGAAAGGTATGGAAACAATGAGAAAGGAGAAAGGAAAAGGATAAAGGAAAGGAAAAATAAAGGGTGGGATATATGCCAGACATATTTAAATTATCTCAAGTGAGGAACCAGATTGAATATGGAAATGATCCTTCAAGTTGAAGTTCTAAGCTTGATACAGATCCAATTTTGAGTTTTGGAAATCTCAGGTCTGTTAAGGTTTGACATATTAGCTCTTGGGAGAGGAGAAAAAAAAATCATAATAAGCCTCCCGAAGGGTGGTAGGAACTGACATTTACTGAGCACTTTTTATGTTCTAGGCCCTAGGTTGTTTGTTCTATAATTTCTGCCATATGCGGTTCCTTTAGGAGAAAAGAAAAAGTAGCAGAGGGTATGGTAGTCCTTGGAGAGAAATAATTGGCTATCCACATAAAAACTCTCCTTCATTTGGATGATGCAATAAAAATTGCAATAGATTACTCAAATCAGAAAGATTAAAGGTTCATTTATTTTACAGTAAAAAGTTTAAAAGTGCTAATTAATAGAGTACACTCTAGAGTAAATATTTTATTAACAAAATTAAAAAATATGTAGCAAAATAGTTGTATCTCTTTTTGGTTGGAAGAAAAAGTAAAATAAGTGATACATTAGTGCTTTATAGTCTGCAAAGAGACTAGAGTCCTTAAAACTGTTATCTCTTTAAAAATATTTATTCATTAAAAATTCTGGCACACACATACACATATATATATTTCCTCTCCAAATTTTGGCTGTCCTTATTAATGAGAACCACCCTTCTTTTTTTTCTAAATTGAGAAGACAAATGTTCTACAGGAATTTGATTGAATATAAAAATACATAAACTCGCCTGTTCATGAGACTTTAGTTTTTCTTTCATAAGATCAGCATTTCTTTTTAGTTGTTCATTTTCACCTGTGTAAAAATAATCAGAGGGCATCCTAATATATAAAACATTTTAATTAATATAGGAATACATTTAACATTTTGGGTTTCCATTCATATACACATTCAACACATACATACAGCATCTACTACACACGAGGCTGCATTCATGGCACTGGAAATGTTGAAACAAACAAACAAAATTATTGCTCTTCAAAGAACTTACAGCCACATGGTAAAACAGATGTGTAAGACGTTATGATACACTACGATAATTGCTCTGTAACGGCAATGTGCTGAAATGCCATGGGGATTTGCGGAAGGAAAGCCTAAATCAGCCTGAAGTCAGGAAAGGATTTACAGAAGAGGAATCATTTTTGCACTAGGACTTAAATGATAAGGCTTACCCCATGTTGCCGGAATGCATTTCACATACAGAAAACTGCACAGAAGACTCTGGGCTTGAGTGGCTATAGCATGTTTTGGAAAGTCACAATTCAAGTACAGTATTGCTGGAATATAAACTGTGAGGATGATGCGCTAAATAGGCTGAAGCCATATCCTAATAGGAGGATCTATTGTATATGAATGACTTTAAATTTTATTTTATAGGTTACAGTCAAAGAATTTTGAAATAAAATTATTAGTTACATGATAAAAAAATGATCTGGCAGTGTAGATGATGAATGGGTGGGTTTTGAACCTAGATGATGGGTATCAGTAAAAAACAGATCAAGTAAGAAATAACAGGAGCCCAGAAGACATGAACAGACACTTCTCCAAAGTGGACATCCAGATGGCCAACAGACACATGAAACAATGCTCAGCATCCCTCATCATCAGGGAAATGAAGATCAAAACCACACTGAGATACCACCTCACGCTAGTCAGAGTGGCTAAAATGAGCAAATCAGGAGACTATAGATGCTGGTGAGGATGTGGAGAAACAGGCACCCTCCTACACTGTTGGTGGGAGTGTAAACTGGTGCAGCTGGTCTGGAAAACAGTGTGGAGGTTCCTTAAAAAACTAACAATAGAACTCCCCTATGGCCCAGCAATAGCACTGCTAGGAATTTACCCAAGGGATACAGGAGTGCTGATGCATAGGGGCACATGTACCCCAATGTTCATAGCAGCACTCTCAACAATAGCCAAATCATGGAAAGAGCCTAGGTGTCCATCAACTGATGAATGGAACAAGAAGATGTGATTTATCTATACAATGGAATACTACATGTCAACGAGAAAGAATGAAATTTGGCCATTTGTAGCAATGTCGATGGAATTTGAGGGTGTTATGCTGAGCAAAATAAGTCAGGCAGAGAAAGACAGATACCATATGCTTTCACTTATAGGAGGATTAGGAGAAACTTAACGGAGGGCCATGGGGGAGGAGAAGGGGAAAAATAGTTGGGAGAGGGAGGGAGGCAAACATGAGAGACTCTTGAATACTGAGAACAAACTGAGGGCTGATAGGCGTTGGGGAGAGGGGAAGGAGGGTGATGAGCATGGAGGAGGGCACTTGTTGGAATGAGCACTGGGTGTTATATGGAATACTTGACAATAAACTATGAAAGAAGAAGAAGAAAAAAAAAAGAAATAACAGAGCCTAAATTAGATCAGTGGCAGTAGGACATAAAAGGAAAATGAAGACAATTATTTAGATTGTAAGATTACCAGGAGACTTATGATTGGCTGGAGAGCAGAGGCAGAAAAGAAAGGGGAACTTTTGCTTTCTAGTTTTCTGGTTTGGGTAATTGAAAAATGTTTGGGCACCTGGGTGGGCTCAGTTGTTAAGCATTTGACTTTCACTCTGATCATGATCTCAAGGTTAATGAGTTTGAGACCCACATCGGGTGAGCTCAAGCTCAGTAAAACAAGAGCCCTGCTTTAGGTGAGCCCTGCTTCTCTCTCTCTCTCTGCCCCTTGCCCCCTCCTGGGATTCTCTCTCAGAAAGTGCTGTATTTCAAAGGTTCATATTTTAAAATGAAGAACTTAATCTGAATGGTGGCTTTAGTTTTATAAAAATTTTGCTGGAAAATTGATATTTCCTTGAATGGAAACACCAATAATTTGAAAACATTTCCAACTAAAATACCTACAAAATATACGACTGCCTTTAGAACAAATGACTTCAGATATGTTTCTCCCACCCACCCCCATTCTAATGGGATTTTCAAACCATAGGGACACAATGCATTAATAACCATGTAACGTGAAAGTTTTCAAGATGAAATGTATCTTATTAGTAGAATGTATGTATTCTAGAATTAGGAAACTGGAGATTTTAGAGGATTTTGATCTCTATAATAATAAAGGAGTATACTTTCCGGTATCATTCAGTTTTGTATGATTTTTAAGTTTAAGGTTTTTTGTTTTTGTTTTGTTTTGTTTTTGTCACAATAATTAAGGGCTGGGAACTGTCTTAAAAAACACTGTACTAACTAGGCAACTTGTATCACTTGTATCTATTGGAAACGCTGAAGCATCTATCATTGAAAGATGAAAGAAAGAAATGGTATTTGATATTTTCTTTTTTTCAAAAAATTTTTAATGTTTATTTTTGAGACAGAGAAAGAGAGAAGGAGACAGAGACAGCACAAGTCAGGGAGGGGCAGTGAGAGGGAAACACAGAATCTGAAGCAGGCTTCGGGCTCTGAGCTGACAGCACAGGGCCCAATGTGAAGCTCAAACTCATGAACCACAAGATCATGACCTGAGCTGAAGTCAGACATTTAACTGACTAGGCCACCCAGATTCCCCCAATGTTTTCTAATTTATAAAAGTATACGTGCTTGTCTTATAGTAAGCGAAACATCTGTAAAGGGAAGCTAATCATCTCTACACACCTTCCCTTCTACTTACCTCACCTAAATTATCAATGTTAGCAGCCTGGTCTGTATTTCTTTCCTACTTTTCTCCCAGCTTATATAATTATATATAAACACATTTGTACTGGTTTTACTCATTTTTACCAATATAGAATTGTACTACACATATTACTTTGCAAAAAACTTGTTTCCTAAAAATGGACGTTCCTTCAAGTCCGGTATTTTTCTATGCATATATATAAATACATTTTTATAATTTTATATAAATCAGGTCATATTATACATGCTGAGCTACCTTTAGAGTACTCTTCCCTTTTCTCTTTCTTTCATTTTCTTTCTGCCTTCTCTCTCTCCCTTTTTCTCCTTTCACCCCATCTCATATCCCTGGTGTAATTGTGTTTCCTTCTCAATTTTTTCCCTTGGACTTATTAACCTCTTGATCATACATGTGTATACATATATACATTTCCATAATTTTATTCATATCTTTTGCCTATTTAAAAATTCTATTTATCCCTGTTGGTCAATTTGTAGATCTCTTTGTATTTGGAGAGCTCTTTATAGATTGTTGATATAAACTACACTGGTATTTGAAAGCACTTTTTGAAATAAATTACTTGTTTTTTAAAATTTTTGTGTGACAAAATAACATGCAAAGTTGTTTTATTGTTGTTGTTTGTCCTTTTGTTGTGTTGTTGTTAAAAAAGCCTGTTGGGTGTTTTTTATCTTTATATAGTGTCTGAAGTTTCCAGATTGGTTAAGAAGACACCCTGCAGCTCTTGGTTGTATCCTGGATACAGCTGATGATATATCCTGAATTTTCTTTTAAGTTTTTATTGTTCTTTTTCATACTGAAGTCTTTTATCCATTTGGAATTTATTTTTATTTATTTAATTTTTTCTCACTATTTTTTTTAGTGTTTATTTATTTTTGAGAGAGAGAGAGACAGACAGAGTGTGAGTGAGGGAGGGGCAGAGAGAGAGGGAGACACAGAATCTGAAGCAGGCTCCAGGCTCTGAGCTGTCAGCACAGAGCCCGATGCGGGACTTGAAACCAGGAACTGCGAGATCATGACCTGAGCAGAAGTAGGATGCTTAACCAACTGAGCCACCCAGGCGCCCTTGGAATTTATTTTTAATGTGGTGGGAAAGAGTCCAACTTTCTTTTCTTCTAGACGGAAAGTTAGTTGTGCCAGTACCATATGTTAAAATGCCATTCTTTTTTCAATAAATTGACATATTTCTTGTTTCATCTATTACATTAACAAATATGGGGGCCTGTTTCTAGACCTGTTGCTGTTCATTTGTAGAACAAACAACATGTGATTATTGTTTGAACTGTTACTTTTTCATCATCCTACCAGATTCTACCTTAGATTTTCAAACACAGATTCCTACTCTGGCCACTTCCTTAAGGTGTGAGGCTCTTGCTGCTCTGGCTAAAGTATCTGTAAATTAAAAGAGCATTTTGCATCAGTGTAGAGTCCACCTGGTCCTGATATTTGGCAAGTAATCTTTCTCTGGCCTAGCCAAAATTCATCTTATTCTCTTGGGCTCTAATAGTTTTGCAGCATATTTTTCTAAAATTATTTTCCTTTCATACTGAACTGGGAGGAAGTCCTTAAGTGTACATTGTCTTTATATTCATTGTACACTTACAGTGAGTTGGTTTTTTAAAAATATCATTTATGATTGGATTGCTTAGCCTTGTAATAATTTCATTCCATAATGAACTAGATATTTTTACATTTAAAGTTCTTAGTTGATTGATTGCCTGAATTAAGGCTATGTTGATTTAGGGGCGCCTGGGTGGGTCAGTGGGTTAAGCATCCGACCTCGGCTCAGATCATGATCTCATGGTTCATGTGTTGGAGCCCATGTCGGGCTCCGTGCTGATAGCTCAGAGCCCGGGGCCTGTGTCAGATTCTGTGTCTCCCTTTCTCTCTCTGCCCTTCCCCAATTCACACTCTGTCTTTCTCTCTCAAAAATAAATATTAAAAAAAAATTTTTTTTTTTAAAAAGGCTATGTTTATCTAAATTGAGATGGTCTTCTAGTGGCATTTACTCAGATCCTGGAAATGTTTTTGTGTTTTAATTAACTGAATGTTTTTACTTTATTTTATTTTAAATTAGAAAAAATATAGTAATATAACTGACCAAATTGAGTTTTTTCTTATTTTGTTTTGCCTTGGTTTCTAGAAAATTTAGAGTTAACTTTTGTGCAATATTGAAGCACCTCCTCCTTAAGTGAGGTTTCTGATCCAAGTATTTTCCTAACTCTCTTCCTACTGATTATAGGCAGGGCCAGCATTATGAGTGTGCAATCTGTGGGGTTGCACTGGGCCCTGCACTCAGAAGGGTGCAATGCTTGCTTTAACTTTCTGCCATTGATGTCTTGAAATTCTTAATAATCTTGTCTTTGAACTTATGTTTTCAAGTAAATGCCAGTGGGACAATGGAGCATGTATGTGAGCAGAGAAGATAAGAGCAACATCCATGTCTACTGCTTCTTGCCACTACATTCACACACAGCACTTGCAAGTCCCCATGAACACAAAATTCTGGTGGACTCATGATACTTGGGAGTTCAGCAAAACTCAAAAGTACAAGTACAAGGTAAATATATTCCATCTAAAACTGAGTAAGCAAGGGCCCTCATTTTCTTTTTCATTAGAACTTGCTTCAAATGCAGGAAAAAAGCAATAGTATTCTAAGAAATATGAATTACCAAACAACTCTATCATATCTCTCTATTAACCCAATAATTATGTTAAAAATGAAGACATTAAATGAAAGAGAAGGATAGGAACTATCACAATTCCTTTTCCTTTTAGTCCATCTTTCTTCACCAGTAATTGTACATAGAGAGTATTGGTAGCAAGGGCAAGTGTCTAGAAATAAAATGAGGGCATCTGGGTGATTCAGTTGGTTGAGTGTCTGATTTCAGTTCAGGTCATGATCCAGGGTTTGTGAATTTGAGCCCTGAGTCCGGACTCGCTGCTATCAGCACAGAGCCTGCCAGGATCCTCTGCTTCCCCCTCATTCTCTCTCTCAAAAATAAACAAACATTTAAAAAAATAAAAAAAAAGTAAAATGAATAATAAATGGTTTAGGCAGTTTTGTGCAGCATTTCCACTATTCTCGTAAAATGAAACAAATATGCATATACAAGCTTTCATGGTACTAATTGTGTACTTTTGTGATTCTGCATGAGTTAAATGCTTGTGTCTTTGAATTTAAAATTCATTTGCACAATATAAAGATGAATGGCAAAATTTATGCTTCTAATTAAAGTTTTTCATTCTTTTTTACTTAGAGTACCATTAATAACAAATACAAAACCCTGGGAAATTGAGAGACCTCAGAAGAAAGAAATAAAGCTCTATATTTTAGAACTTTTAATGTTACTTTTTTCCTGTTTTTTGAACATTAGGCCCCACATTTTCATTTTGTATGAGGCCCTGCAAATTATGTAGTTGGCCTTGTTTTGTTCTTTAGCTTCCTTTTAACATACCTTTAAGCAAATCTCTTTAGGAAGGAGGCAGTTTTTAAATAATGAAGACTCTGAAGTATATACTTCAGAGAGATCATTTCTCCATACAGAATTTGCTTATATAAATGTAGCATTTTCCCAAGGATATAGTAGAAGATACCATGTCAAATTACTGTATGTTGGTAGAACTATTTCCACATTTTTCAAACTACTTTTAATTTGAGCAATACTTTTTTCTTTAGGAGTAATAGTCATCGATTAGTTTACTTCCTCAGATAATTCTTTTATAAAATAACACTGAACTATGTCCTATTGTCCTTTTTATAACATTCTGGGCAGTGATCAAATTTGATTAAATCACGCTGCTTACTATGATTTTGCTTAGTAAAGTTATGCTATACATATCAATGTCTTCCTGGAAACCTACCCTGATAGAGTATAAGGGCCTAAATAAATTCAAGTCATTCAAGTTCAGTTCAGACAGGAAAAAAAGCAATACTAAATTGCAAGAAATCATTTAGAGATAATTGGAAAAAATGAGTTTGAATTCTCATACAGAGGTGCTCTGTGTTTGCAGCTGATTTCATGTGTCTCTCTCTTTTCTTCATGACACCCTGCCCTGCCCATGTGTTTGAATTCCTAAATTAAATTCCTTAATTCTATTCTAATGGACAAAAGTCTCTGAATCTTATTTTTGCCCTGGTAGTAACTAACCATAAGCTAGATGCCTTGTCACTATCTTTCATACAATGAATTATAGGGGTTCTCCTCAACCAGATATGATATATAGTAATATAGGAAAAAATCCCTATCATTTGATATATTGTGATGAATTACTCCACTAAGGACCCATGTCTATACTCTAAAGTCCAAAACACATTACTTAAAAGACAGGATATTATATCTATGAAAAGACTGTATTCTTGACCATTGGTCAATAATTAATATCTTTTGTACAAAAAATAATTATAATTCATCAATTAATATATTCAACATTAACTTTCTGAGACTTCAAAGTAATTTTAATTTCTGGTAGATGTTTTATTTAAACAAAATCCTAGGAAGAGTTAAAATATCATTTGAATCCTAGAATAAGAGGCCTGTAAGGATTGTGAACAATCACATTTTTTTAAATGCAGCTGGGGTATTGTATTTAGTCACAGAGAAGGGAAAAGTTATTCTGAACCATTAGCACTGAGATGGGAAAATGAAAGTCCAGACCAGGTGTGAAATGGGGATCAAACCCTGAAAAAAGTGATCAGACTGCTAGAGTCAAGAAAAAGGAAAATCTATGGGACACAGGGAATCAGAAGTCTGGAGGACTAAGCCAAAATAAAAGGCATTGGAGGGGCACCTGGGTGGCTCAGTTGGTTAGGTGTCTGACTCTTGATTTTGGCTCAGGTCATGATATCATTCGTGGGATCGAGCCATCCATTGGAGCCTGCTTGGGATTCTCTTTCTGCCCCGACCTTGCCTGCACTCTCTCTCTCTCAAAATAAAGACATATTAAAAACTAAGAAAAGAAAAGGCACTGGAGATGGTGTGGTTCCCTATCTATTGCCCTTTAGCTCTGCAGAGTAGCTGAATCCTTTCTGTACTGCAGATGCTGTTTGACAATTTAAGTGTGAAGTCTTTTAACCCAATTTTTATATTTGTTTCATCAACACTTGAGCAGATATTTTAAGGTAAAACAATGGGGGAGAAGTAAGGCTAGTATTTCTTAAAGATAAATCTCAGAACATTATAAAGACAATAAGGAATAACATGCAAAGCAAATAAATGGTGTGTAAGATCATTATACTTCATCTATATATAAAAAGTACTTTATGATAAAAATAGAAGACTAAGATAAAAAAATTCTTGTTTGATGGGAGTTTTATGTTAGAAGGGACTTGGAAGGCAATTTCATCTAGTCTCCAAATAGTAGAGGAAAATCCCATTAACACTGCACTGTCGCTAACTCAAAACAGGATGAAACACTTGGTTGCTTCATCTGTTTTGTCAATGAATAGGCCTGTTAGGTTAGCATGACTAGCAAAAATAAGATAAACTGAATGTGCTGGCTTCATTTACACAAACATATCCTTAGTCTCTGATAAAAAACTAACTAGTGAACGATCACTGCTGTTTGAATAGAATATTCATCATGTAACTACTAGAACATACCTACCCTTCAAAACTGAACACAGGATCATTAAAAACTAAGAGCACTTCTGAGAATAAATATATTTCTGAGCTTTTGAAAATAATAAAGAGAATTATTATAACTGACTATAAAACATCCTCTGATTTTCTTGTCAGAATACTACTGAATTATTCTGTTCAGCAAGGTATTTCTTATTTCATAATAATTTAAGGAATGTATTATTTGGTAGTGAGAAGTTTTGGCATTATCTGATGAGTTTAACAAGACCAGATTAAAAGAAACTTACTGTCAATGATGTAAAAACTCTATTTATAAAGGTACTCAAATATATAATATTTTTAAAGATTTTTTTTGAACTTACCTTTCAAATTATGTTGATGTTCAATGGTCTGTTGTAGCCCTTTTATCATATTATGAAGAGTAGAACATTCTAAAAATATAAAAGACACATTTATTTGAAAATTATTTGCTTTCATTTTGAAACTATTCTCTCAAAGTTGAAAGACTTAAAATAAAATAATTGACAATTATGAGATTTTAAAAAAATATCTATTTATTTTTGAGAGAGAGAGAGACACAGAGACAGAGCTGGAGCAGGGGAGGGGCAGGAAGGGAGGGAGGGAGACACAGAATCTGAAGCAGGCTCCAGGCTCTGAGCTGTCAGTACAGAGTCTGATGCTGGGCTCAAACTCACCAACTGTGAGATCATGACCTGAGCCGAAGTTAGAGACCCAACCGAGCCAGCTAGGTGCCCTGACAATTATGAGACCTTTATGAAACAACCAGGTATCTCAAAGTAAATAATATAGTAAGTAATTTTTAATTACCCTTTAAACCAAATGCATTCTGGGGTTTAGTAATGAGTTTTCTACAGCGCAATAAATTCAGCATAGTAGTGATCCCCTACCCCATGTGCTTTAGCAATATCTGCCCTAAAGGTAAGGCACACTTGGACATGCTTGGGGAACTATGTGTGGTGTATCTATGTGAGTTTTCCATGAAAGAACATCTCCAGGAGAGTCAAGGTACACTAAATTTTGTTAAGATTGAGAGCCAGAGCTGGTGAGGTGTCATTTGGGAGAAGACAATGTTTTTCTTCCTCACTGTCCTCCAATCTATCCTCTTAGTACTCATGCCTAAGTCCCAGGGCAAAGGAGTAAAAACTCAGTGTGCTGAGTTACAAGGAATTAGCAACTTTGGTGCAAATGACTTCTGCCACAATGGGAAATGGAGGCTTCACTGCAAGCATTCATGCCCTGACATGTGACTATAGGCTGGTTATAACTAGCAAAAGCTAAACCTTTGATGGGTGGCAGCAGAGATGGACATTTCAATAATTTCAAGGCAGTCCACTTGACTGTAAGCTCCAGGAGATCAGGGACTATTTTGTTTTGTTCACCATTTCTCCCTAGTATTTAGAGCAGTTGTGGTCCATAGCAGGCACTCCATAAATATTTGCTGAGTGACTGATTGATGGGCAATATAATAGTAAACTGAAGCAAGAAAGGGGTAAATGGAAAAACTGTCTGAAAATAATATATATTATATCGTTATCCTAAGTGCTTTGCAAATATTGAATAATTTGGCCCTCTCAACCCTAAGAGGTAGCTCCTAGTATTTGTGTCATTTACATAGGAGCAAGCTGAACACAGAAGTTTAGTGAATTGCCCAAGGTCACACTTATAATTGGTAACTGGTAGAGCTACAACTAGAACCCCAGCAGTCCAGCAATTCAGTCTGTGATTTAACTACTTTACTACCACAGAGACCAGCCCAGGACCGCTCCTTTAGAGTAATATGAGTAGGTTGGACGCCCTGGAAAGAGGACAAGAATAGACTCAGACTCTTTCTGATTGTTATTGCTACCACATGTTTTACAATCTTAGGGAGAACAGACTGCACTAGTTTAAGTTTACAATTATACTAGCTAAATATATAATGATGAAACTTCATAAAAGAGTAACGTTTTTAAAATATTAAAAACTTGTAAAGGCTTAAGGAAAATTTCACCTTTTTAAAAAAATAGGACAATTTCACCTTTATGTACTTGGCTTAACAACTAATAAATATTGAGCCTTATTCTCTTTCATTCAGTTTTAGAGACCCACGGCCAATATTCAGCCTGTATGCACTAGTATGACAGACTGACTAAATTCCATTCTAGGTGGGCATCTGTTTTGATGGTTAAATATTAAATACCATATTTGTATCTAATAAAAAGTTATCTATGTATAATAATACCATTTACTGATTGTTTACTCTGCCAGCTATTACACTAAGTGCATTATAAACATTACTCAATTAGTATTCAAAATGATACTTAGAAGTTAGTATTATTATCCTGATTTTACAAAGGGAGATGGTCATCCAGTATTGCCCAGGATTACTAGTTACTTGCCCAGGATTCTAGAGTTAGTAAGTGGAAGGTATGGACTTGAACATGTTTTTCTCATGTCAAATCCTGATTTTAATCTGCTATTCAATACCTTCTGGGAAATTATAGGATACACTGATGAAACCATGAAACTTGGGATCCAAGGAAATAGAATAGAGTTTCCTCTTCTTCACTCTCTAGCTATGACACCCTGGACAAGCTACTTAACCTTTTTGAGCTTTATATTCTCCATCTGCAAAATAAAACTATGGGTACTACCTATCCTCCTTCACATATAAGACTATTCTCATATATAAGGCTACTCTGACAACCAAATAAGAAAATAGTACTCTCTAAATTTACTCACAAATATTCAACATTGTTATTGTTATTTCTCTCCTCTGTCTCTCAACAATTTGTATATATCTCTTTTCTCCTTTTATGACATTTCATTTTAGTTATTTGTGGTTCCTCCCACTAGATGGTGAACTCTTTCAGGTAAAGATCATATCTTATTAATTTTGATATTTCTTATTTCTAAAAATTTTTAATGTTTTATTTATTTTTGAGAGAGAGAGACAGAGCGTGAGCAGGGGAGAGGCAGAGAGAGACACACACACAGAATCTGAAGCAGGCTCCAGGCTCTGAGCTGTCAGCACAGAGCCCGACACAGGGCTCAAACCCACACAGACTGTGGACTGTGAGATCATGACCTGAGCTGAAGTTGGTCATGAACTGACTGAACCACCCAGGTACCCAGATATTTCTTGCTTCTAATATGGTGACTATTTCATAGGTGTTCAATAGTATTTTTATTTATTGACTAAAGGAAAGAACCCATACTGTGAAGGGAAAATGCAAAATTTTGTCTTTCAGTTAGAGGTCTTAACACTCTGTCTCCATATACTTTCTTCAACCATGCTAATGGAACTGAAAGTATTTTGCAGAAGTTAAAAGCTTTATGCATGGGGTTCCTGGGTGGCTTAGTCGGTTAAGCGTCTGACTTTCGCTTAGGTCATGATCTCGCGGTTCGTGGGTTCGAGCCCCGCGTCGGGCTCTGTGCTAACTGCCAGCTCAGAGCCTGGAGCCTGTTTCAGAGTCTGTGACTCCCTCTCTCTCTGACCCTCCCCTGCTCACGCTGTCTCTCTCTCTCTCCTAGAAATAAATAAAACATTAAAAAAATTTAAAAAAAAAGCTTTATGCAGATATAAGTTTCTTCTACTATAGTTTTTCACTCTTCCTTGTAACCCTTCGACCATCCCCACCACCCACTCAAAGTTCCCACCATCCTCCGTTCTTTTTCTCTTTTACTATTTCCTGGTAATAGATTGATGGTTAAATCACACCTGACATTGCCTACTTCATATATGTTATTGTGTTAGTTGCTACAATTAAAAAATTAAGGGGGGCCTAGCTGGTTCAGTCAGTGGAGTGTGCGACCCTTGATCTTGAGGTTGTGAGTTTGAGCCCCACATTGGGTGTAGAGACTACTTAAAAATAAAACCTTTAAAAAAATTAAGGAGGCACAGACTCTGTCATCACTTCTCTTTGTGCCTTTTAGAGGAATAAATAGATAGCTGAAGTTATTTCAGTACAGCTGACTCTTGAACAACATGGGGGTTTAGAGGTGGTGACTCCTGTGCAGTTGAAAATCTGAGTGTGGGGGTGCCTGGGTGGCTCAGTCGGTTAAGTGTCCAACTCTGGCTTAGGTCATGATCTCGCGGTTTGTGAGTTCCAGCCCTGTGTCGAACTCTATGCTGACAGCTCAGAGCCTGGAGTCTGCTTCAGATGCTGTGTTTCCCTCCCTCTTTGTCCCTCCCCTGCTCACACTCTGTCCTCTCTCTGTCTCTCAAAAATGAATAAACATTAAAAAAAAGAAAGAAAGAAAATCTGAGTGTGCCTTTTGACTTCATAAACTGAACTACTGGGGGGCCTGGCTGACTCAGCTGGTAGAGCATGTGACCTCTTGATCTTGGGATTGTGAGTTCAAGCCACACATTGAATGTAGAGTTTACTTAAAAAAAAAAAATTAAAGTTCCAAAACTTAACTAATAGCCTACTATTGGCCGGAACCTTACTGATAACATAAAGTCAATAACACATATTTTGTTTTATATGTATTATAGCCTATATTCCTACAATAAAGTAAGCTAAAGAAAATGTTATTAGGAAAATCACAAGGAAGAGCAAATACATTTATAGTATTGTACTGTCTTTATCAAAAAACATGCACATATAAGTGAATTCATGCTGTTCAAACTCGTGTTTTTCAAGGGTCATCTGTAATCAGCAAATTGAAAACAGAGCCCTTAAACTGAAAGTATACTGAATTTTTTTTTTAAAAAGTGTCTTTTCAAAAGATGAACACAAGGTGGCTCTCTCAACACTTTTTTTTCCCCAAAGGAAAATGGCTCAATAAAAAAATTGTTCATAAGGTAGAATACCATCATTCCTTATTTTTAAAATAATGAGTTTTAATTCTCTTTGCAAATCTTTATCTGCATCATCATTTCTGTTGGATTTTAGAATGAATACTCTCCTATCCAAAGCTTAAAAGCTAGGGCTCAGAATATTAGGCTACTTCTTAAAAAAATTTTTTTTTAACATGTATTTATTTTTGAGAGACAGAGAGACAGGACATGAGCAAGGGAGGGGCAGAGAGAGAGGGAGACACAGAATCTGTAGCAGGCTCCAGGTTCCGAGATGTCAGCAAAGAGTCCGAGGCGGGGTTCGAACTTACAAATCGGGAGATCATGACCTGACCCGAAGTCGACTGCTCAACTGACTAAACCACCCAGGCACCCTTAAGCTACTTCTTAATACTGTATAATTTAGTAAATTAAATGGTGGTTTTGAACTCAAATTTAGGCTCTGCCATTAACTAGCAATTTGACCATTAACATCTATTTCACAATACACTTGGAAATGTTGAGTGCAATTATGTATGAAAAGTACTTGGCCATAATACTAATATTATTATCATCTTCAACCGGCACAGAAATTCTTTATCTGGTATCCAATGTAGAAAATATAATGTCATGATCTCATTCTTTATTGTTGAACAAATCCAATCATATATGTAGTTTGTTCTTCCTGTCTAGGTCAATTAGTACACACTTGACTCTATAAACTGTCATTACCACTAGTTCTTTTACTTCTGCTGCATATTATCCAGCAAAAAGGCCATTAGATTTAGAATAAGTAGAATTGGATTTTTAAAAATTATTTTTTTTTCAAATAATAAATACACATGAAATACAAGTATAGCAAAACATGATTATTTCTCCAGTTTCGGCCTCTAAACTAACCAGTTTCCCTTCCCCCAAAGCAAACACCGTTATCAGGATACTGATGCTGTTTATCTTTCTAGAGATATACAAATATATAAGGAAGAGGGTGTTCTGTGTGTATACAGATATTTTTATAAAAATGATAGAAGACAGTTGTGAACATTGTTTTCATTTACAGTATCTTGGAGATTATTCTTGTTTTTTTTTTTTGTTTTTTTTTACAAATAGTTTATTGTCAAGTTGGTTTCCATACAACACCCAGTGCTCATCCCCACAAGTGCCCTCCTTCTTGGAGATTATATCATATAGAACTACTTTTCTTTTATCAGCTGCCATAATTTAACCAGAATCCTACTGATGGATGTCACACTCGGAAAGGCCTCCGTACTAATAAACACAACCCCCCCCCTCAAAAAAATTCATGTTCTATTCTATTTTTTCCTGTGGTTTCATTTTTTTCACCTTTAATTAATTTTATTTTTTAGTAGTTTTAGATGTACAGAAAAATCAAGAAGGTATTACAGAGTTGCCAAATATCCTACACCCAGTTTCTCATTATTAATATCTAACATTAGTATGAGATGTTTGTTAAAATCAATGAACCAATGTTGATACATTATTATTAACTAAAATCTATACTTTATTCAGATTTTCTTAGTTACCTTATTTTCTTTTTCTGTTCTAGGATCCCATCCACAATACCATATTACATTTACTCGTCATGTCTTCTTATGTCCTCCTGGCTGTGATAGTTTCTCAGAGTTTTCTTGTGTTTGAGGACCTTGACAGCTTTGCAGTCCTGGTTAGGTATTTCGTAGAAAAGCCCTTTATGGGAATTTGGCTGACAGTTATCTCATGGTTAGATGGGGTTATGGGTCTTTGGGAGGAAGATCAGACAAGTCTGTACATCTAAAACTACTAAAATGGTGAAGTGCCATTTTCAACACACCATATCAAGGGTACATATATATGGCTCTTTCTTTTTTCTCTCCTGACTCAGGGCACTTCATTAGTGAGGAGTGTTGGTCTGGGAAAAGGGTGTTGGGATGAACAGGATCAGCACCCATTCTGGGAAACGTTACTAAACACCAGGCATTCCTCCAGGCAAATTTTGAGAAAACTCCATCATGGATGAAACCTCCCCAGAGGACAGCACTGTGACCACTCCCCCTCTCCAACAGCAGGGGTACAAGGGGAACCTAAGGCACAGCTGGGTTCCAGTACAATAGGCTTCAAAGTCAGGCACAGACTGGCATATACCAGGAGCTTCTCAAAGTTTCATGTGAACGTGAAGGAATTCAGGCTCTCTTGAGTTCTCCAGAAACCCTGAACTGGTTGCACAAGGAGGCCAAGCACTACTGGGCCTGGGGGCTGCAGGTGCAGCTGAAGCTCCTTTATCTGGGTGTAATCCCAGGCCACTGTGCCTAAAAGCGAGCTGGCATTCTCAAAGAGCGGCGCCTTGCCCTACAAAGAGCCTGGGTTTAAAGGCTCCCTGCAGGCTTGTGGGTGTGCAAAGCATGGACTAAGACCAGGGACACAGCCGGGAGGATAGTTGGTGGCTGGGAGCTGAGAGGCACACATGGCCTGGTTGTTCCAGAAGTAAGGGGACAGCTTTGGACTAAGACAGTCCATTTTTGGCACTAAAATTTTTGACCCATCTGAATTTTCTTTTGGTGACAAGAATTCAACTGTTATTTTTTCCCATGGTTTTTTTTTCTTTTTACACTGCTGTTCCACAAGCTTTTTTTTAATTTAATTTTTTTTTACAAATAGTTTATTGTCAAGTTGGTTTCCATATAACACCCAGTGCTCATCCCCACAAGTGCCCTCCTCCATGCCCATCTGCCCCCTCACCCCCACACCCATCAGTCCTCAGTTTGTTCTCAGCATTCAAGAGTCTCTCATGGTTTGCCTCTCTCCCTCTCCCCCAATATTTCCCCCCTTCTTCTCGCCCATGGTCCTCCGTTAAGTTCCTCCTAATCCTCCTATACGTGCAAGCATATGATATTTATCCTTCTCTGCCTGACTTATTTCGCTCAGCATAACACCCTCAAGGTCCATCCATGTTGCTACACATGGCCAGATTTCATTTTTTCTCATTGCCATGTAGTATTCCATTTTATAGATAAACCACATCTTCTTGATCCATTCATCCGTGGATGGACACTTAGGCTCTTACCATGTTTTAGCTATTGTTGAGAGTGCTGCTATGAACATTGGGGTACATGTGCCCCTATGCATCAGCACTCCTGTATCCCTTGGGTAAATTCCTAGCACTGCTATTGCTGGCTCATAGGTTTTTCCCACAGTTTTGAAGGCTTGGATTGAGACTTGGATTTTCCATTTCTTAGTTTACTGGTCTCCAACAGACTATCTAACTTCTTTTATCCTATGTTTCTTCATTATTGAGCTGGCTTAGTAATACCAATCCTATTTATCATGGTTATAAAGGATAAAATGAAATGATAGCCCAGAAAGTTCCATGTGAATTTAAAATATTTTACAAATGTATGGTATAATATTAATCACTGTGGTACCAAAAAACACTCTCATGAGATTTAGTATTTCTTCAGGCAGCAAAGAACTGACCTTTTTTAATTGAGACCTCCTTTGTTTGCGTTACTTTTAACAAATAGTTAGTTTTTTCCAACTGTATATCCAGTATATTATTCTTTCCACTTGTTTCTATCATTTTCTGTAGAAAAGAAACAATATATAGTATTACCAAAGCAATGTTGCTATTTTGATTTTTTTTTTTTAACCTAATGATATGAAGACAAATGAGAATACAAACCACTTAATACCTGAAAGTCTAATAATTAAGTCTGGCATATGTTTTATGTAAGCCAATTTCCTCATTTATTTAATTTTAAAAGTAACATGGCAAAATATTAAAACAGACTAACAGTTATAAAAAGTTATGAAAATTAAGAATATGACCTAACTTGAATCCCCTTCTTTCCAACTATTCAGCCCTCAGCCCAATGGTTGATAATTCCTTATACATATTTCCAAAATACGTTATGATTGACTATACAACTATAGGAAAGGATCATTTTATACTCTGTTTTGCACCTTGGATGTTCCACTTAGAACTCTTATCTTGGAGATGATGTCCATATAAGCACATTTAGGTCTACTTTTTTCTTTTTAAGACCTGCATTGTGTTTCATTTATGAATATATCGTAATTTACTTAATTAGTACCCTTAGTGAGGAGAATTTGTGTTGTTTCCACTATTACAAATAATGAATAAACCTTCTTCAACATATCTTTTTGCATAGTGTAATAGCTGCCAATACCCTTCAGACAGCTTCAAAAATCATCAATTCATTGTATCCTCTATTATCTCTACCCATTTCCCTATTCTCTCTGCTTCTGAATTTATCTTAAAGCAACTCCATGACATTATATATTTCATCCATAAATATCATCATCTACATGTATCTCTGAGAGAACATTCTTAAAAATACATCACAATAATTTATCACATCAAAAAAATGAATATTTCTTATTTAAAATATTTAAGGATATGATAGATATTTCTAAATAATCTCCAAAAATTTTGCATCAATTCCTCTCTCACGAACAATGCTTCTTATTTCTTTCTCTATTCTCATTTTGGTAAGAATCACTTGGGTAAGAAAACTCAAGTTTATTGTTTTAAAAAGTTCATAATGTGGGGTGCCTGGGTGGCTCAGTCAGTTCAATGTCTGACTCTTGATCCCAGCTCAGGTATTGATCTCAGGATTATTAGTTCAAGCCCTGCATTGGGCTCTGCACTGGGTATGAAGTTCACTTAAAAAAAAAAAAAAAAGTTGATGATGTTATCTCAAAATACCCATTGTCATGAAAATCCTTTTATTATGGACATACCACACTGTGCAGAGGAAAAGAAGGAATAGAGAAGAATGATAAAGAGAGAAAATAGAGGTAGGTATCATTCCCCTTCCCACCCTTGCTTCAAAAACCCACTCCCCAAATCTCTTATTTATCCACCTATATCTTCTCAACTATTCTTATTTCTCTCCAAAGCAGAAAAGGTGGAAGAAATCTAATATATACTGTGGGTTTGGTCTACCATGTAATATGTCCAGAGTTGGGGAAAGGAACTTCAAATAGGTCTGTTTTTAGGCAAAAGAGAAAGAAAAAGGAACAGAATAGGAAAGAGTAAAAAAATATTAGAGTTAGTCATAATGGTAAGAGATTGAGGATTGACTATTCCAATTCTTATTAAACCATTCCTGAGTTTATGGACATTTTGAACATTTAAGTATTATTTTTCCTTTTAACTTCAGCTAAAGTATATCAACTGTTTCCTTGTCCCAGAAACATTTTGATGCATTAGTATAAATGATCCAAAATGAAATATATTTTAAATATGGATTTGAAAAATGAGAAAGGACTTAGCAAAAATATATTTCCATTGTCTTTACTTTGCTTATTTTTTGGTACATTTTTCTTTCTTCCCAATTCTTTCCACTGGCAAAATCTATTTCACTTTTATACTATACTATAACTTTTATACTTTATACTATATAGTTTTTATACTATAACTTTTTATATCTTTACATACCTTTTCTATCTCAGAGAAATCACTTATAAGCTTGTCAAGATTCACATTGCTTATCTTTTTCATAAATCCTTCGCTGCTTTGACTCATGTCTAAACTAGTGAAGAGTAAATAGGGTTAAAAAATAGATGAAGAAATAAACAAACAAAAACTATACTATAGTGATAATAAGCCAAATACTAATGTTTCTGCACTCCACGCATAGAGCACCTACTTGAGCTCCATTGCACATGGAAAATTTCTGCTATACACATTATTAATAATAGTCAAATGCATTAAGGCTTCTCTACTCTTCTACATGTGACCCTACTCAAGTTTTCTCCAAACAAATCTAAAATTAGGGCAATGTTACATGCATATGTAGAAATTATTTGTCCCGGTTACACAAAAAAGCTATTCCATTGTTCAACTCATCTTCTTGCCGTCGGTATGATAGGACTCAAAATCTGGTGTTACTGCTAAATCTGATGTGTGACTTTTTTTTGCTGTATTTCCTGGTAGTGTACTTACTGCCATGGACCGAATTGTGTCCCCCTGCCCGCCAAACTCCTTTGGGTATAGCCAGCTAACTGCTAAAGAATGAGTTCTAGTTTTAGTCCTATGGTACCAATCATACAAAATTCTACATTATTCCAGAGGTAAAGTCATCCCGTCAGGATGAAGAAACTGACTTTCACAAAACTGTTAGCATTTACACTTGGGGGTGGGAGAGTGTTTAGAAGAATTAGGATTAATACAATCTAAGAGTATGAGACATTTGTCTTTAGATTTTTACAAGCAAACTGCAGGGAGAAAATACAAACGTGAAATTTAGGCATTCTGGATTAAGGAAAGAACATATGCCAATGGCTGGTGTATGAAAGTGGTAGTGGTGGCTGGTCCAAAGTAAAAAGTAAGTAAAATTCCTGAAGTAATTACCTAAAGTAATTTTAGGGGTCATATTATTGTTTCAAATGAAGTACAACACAACAGACATTGCTTTGGCAATTTGTTACTTCACAAATCTTTCCTTCCTTTTTTTGACTGGACATTAAATCAAATGTATGACATTTGACAACTATTAGTGGTTTTTAAATGAAAGAATTTTAGTTGTAGATTTTCAGTTTATTGAATTATTATTCAAGTAAAACTATTTAAAAATGACAGCTTGATCTTTAAGGCAGGAAAATAATTCTAATAGCACCCCACAATAAAAACGGCAAAACTCTTTTCTGGAGGAAAACTTATCATCAGTATTTGATAACTGTTACTCTTTAATAGAGCTATAGGATAATCTGAGGTTGTTAATGCAAAACATTCCCTCCCAACTTTTTTCTTTTTAGTTCCTAACATTTAAATAAAGAAGGTTTTCCTACAGTTCTCAGATCCCAGCTCTTGAATTAAATTCATTTTAATTTCAGCTTGATTTTCTCCCAACACCTCTGCTCTAATGAGACTCTGGGAGTGTTTTTCTTTATAAAACCATCGCTAATATTCCCCTGGCTGTTATCGCACGCTGTTGCCCGCGGTGTAGGAGTTTTGTCACACAGGCTGAAAAGCCATCCATCCAATCCACGTCTAGGTATCTTCATAGTACCACCCAGTTTCCTTCATCAACATCTCTTCAGTGGATTCGGCTTTCTTGCTCGTGAAACTAGGAAACAAGCTGGTGATTCAGTGCTTGTCAAATTCTTTGGTGAGAAGCAGAGACGGACTTGCGGCCTTCCGGTCCAGCAGCACCCCGTTAGGTGGGTGCCAGCGCCATTTTCTTCCTGGCTCTTCTGCCTACCAGCATCTGGGCCTCACTCCCTCTCGCCCTACACGGTTCGGCAGGGCCTGTGCTCGGCCAGAGGCCAGACTGGGGGGTGGGGATGGTGCTCTCTTCTCCCCTCCCTGATGCCCTCCGCCAAGGCACGCTCAGCCCCGAGGCCCGGGGCTCCCGCTCCCTCCACCCGCGTGCCCGGGACCAGAGGAACCCAACCCTACTGCACGACTCGCACCATCGGGCCTGACGGGAGTGGAGGGCTTAGGAGACGTCAGGAGGTATGAAGACAAGAATTTCCAGGACCAAAGTGGGAATTTCGAACAAGCCGACAAAAAGCCTGGAGCGTACCTGCCGCCGCTCACACTTCCCCACAGTCTCCCACGTCACCACATCCGGGTGCTGGTCCGCCCCTCACTGCTGTCCCCTCCCCGGAAGCAAGTTCCCCCGACAGTAGGCCCGCCCTTCTCCCGGCCCCACTGGGACCGCTTGTTTTCCGCCTCCGGTGGTCCCTGCCTCCTTAGCCCTTGCTCGCCTCGGCATCTGGTGCTTCTTAGATATTTGTTCTGGTTTCTGGAAGATGACTCAACACCCGGTGCCTGCCAGATTCATAATTATTTCCCTAACCAAAGAATAAATCACATTGGTTTTAAGTTTGGAGCAGTGAGTCAGCACCACTGAATAAGTAATAATCCATATTTATTTGAGTAACTTATGAAATAGGCTTATAATGTACAAGGAGACTGCGCTAGGTGATGGAGATGAAGGCATGAATATAATCAGTCTGTGCGGTACAGAGTCAGCTGATGGATATCATCTCCTATATACAAAGCTATCTTGGTAACTTAATGGTTAAAGGCTTAGGCCCCGCGTGGATTGAAGCCACCAACTCTTACATACCTACTGGGTGATCCTGGGCAAGTGTTTAAGTATGCGTGCGTTGGCTTCTTTATCTGTAAAACTGACATTAATAAGGATGCCTACTTCACAGGCCTGTTGGGATGATTACAGGATTAAAATTTTGGTGAATAACAGTTTGAAACTGTATCCACTGCCAACTTTGCCCAATCTACTTTTATTTTTTGAGTGGGAGAAGAGAGATATTTTTATGAATTTTGTTTTCTATGAAATCCAAAATCTGGCAAGCAGATACATGTAGACTGTAATAGGATAATTCATAGTCTATCATTGGAAAGGTAGTATAGCATGGTGGCAAGGCAATTTGGTCAAAGTGGGAAATGTGGGGTGGAGGCCTCTCTGCAGGTAGTTATCTGGGAAGGTTGATTGATATTCCCAAGACTTTCCCCCCCCTAATTTTAAAATAAGAGAAGTGGACTAAATAAAAAAGCTAAAATTTTAGAATTTTAAACTGGTCTTATGATAAAATATTGCTCATCAAATGTTTTTGAAAAATTTTTTTCATGTTCTTTAGCTCATTAACTTCACAAATTTATATATATTATTTATATGTATATGTATATGTATATTATTTATGCATATATGTGTGTATGTGCATATATGTTTAGTTTTTATTTATTTATTTAAGTTTATTTGTTTTTTGAGAGTGAGAGAGAGCATGTGAGCTGGGGTGGGACAGATGAGGGGATACAGAGGATCTGAAGCAGGCTCCATGCTGAGCCTGAAAGAGTCTGACACGGGGCTCGAGTCCACAAATCCCCCAGATCATGACCTGAGCCAAAGTTGAATACTTAGCTGACTGATTCACCTAGGTACCCCTTATGTTTAAATTTTAAACTTCTGGCTACCCAAAAGGCTTTCCTTGATTTAACAACACATAGGGATGTTTAAAATGGCCTTTTGAATTGCTGGTTCTATCCAATTAGCACATATAAAATGTTCCATGTAACTCATATCATAATGGTTATTGAAATAAGTCCATTTTAAGACCAACCTAAAATGTTACCTTCTCTGTAAGGTATTCACTGATCATGTCAATCAGCTGTGACATAGCTTTCCTTATTCTTTGCTCCTACTATACTCGGGACCATGTTGGCCTTGCTGGGGACTTTGTTAGGGCTGTTTGAATTCTTTCCTGCTGTTTGGTCCTTGGAGGAAGAATCTCTTTTATATATATATATATTTCTCCATAGTGCCTAGCTAGTCAGAATAAATGGAAATGAACCAACACACCAGAAATAAATCAGAAAACTTTAGCTTGATTTTTCTAGTTTGAAATGAGTCATAAGCTTCTCTTCTAGTTTATAGAAACTAGTGTTTTTTCCAGAGTCTAGTGCATTCAAAATATCTTTGTCAATGAGAAACTATATAAGCTTTCCATGATTTCATTTTTAAAAAGGGAATGCCTTTCACAGTTGTATTCACAGTTTTATTCATGAAGTATCATCCAATTGAGAAACAGAAAGGATTCATTGAGTATTTGCTCAGGAACTGCCTGAAAAGCCTAAGAGGAATAAATTACATTATTGTGCCATACTAACAAAGGAAGTATAAAGAAAGTAATATTCTAATCCATTAAAAAAATACCATGATTTGGAAAATAAACATATGAGCCTACACAATTGTAAAAAAATCAGAGGCTATTGTTTTATTCATATAAGGATCTTAAGATGAGTGACATGTCGATGTTTTTTAGGTTACAAACAGCTTCACTTATTAATTCATTGAAAAATATTCAAGGTACGAGCTACTGAGTGTCTAGGCACTATGGGAAAACAAGTAAGCTGCTCTCTTAATTTGGACCTTACATCTCAGAGGATGGCCTTTTTAAGACCATGAGCAATTACTCACCTGTTTAGTCAAGAAACACTTGCTGAGTACCATACCTTTTCTGGTACCTATAAGAATAGGAATCAACAAATCAGACATGGTCCTGGACCCCAGAAGGCTTACAGTCTTGAGAGAGAAATAGCTAATAAAAAAGTAAATAACTGATAAATAAAAACTGTGATAAGAGCAAAGAAAGAAACACAAATCCATGATAGTCGTTTAAAAAGTGAATGGGAACAGCTTTAGATATAGCGGTCAAGGAAAGTCTGAGGAGATGACATAAAAGGAAGACCTGTAAGGTACATCAAGAAGTTAGCTGTGGGCCACAGATAAATGCCAGGGTTCCCTTTTTTACCTCCTATTTGCTCTCTTGACGCACGTTTTCCTGCTCTTCCTTTTTTATCTGATTCCCATGTTTTAATATCTACTTCTGAACTCTATTGGACTGGCTTCAAGTACAACTTCACATCCCAGCACTGTGGCCTCTTGGCTGTCAGCACCGCTTGCAGTAATTAGGTAAGAGCCATCCCATGCACCAGGTCTATGATCCTATATAACTATGTTGCTTGGGACGCCCCCCCCCCCCATCCTTCCCTACGTG